GGTTGAAGTCTGTGGCAGCCTCAAAGGGTCTGGCCTCACCTGGGCCTGGATGGACTTCAAGCCTGGGGCTGGGGCAGAGGATGGGAGTCACCCTTTTGCTCAAGTTTAAAGATGGCTCTGAATAACCCAGGAAGGAAGAAGGACCACGGGAAACATGTCAGGAGACAGCAACATTCCTGAGGTCACAGTTTGGGGAAACTCTTCTAAATTTTAGAGGACTCGGAGTAAATGTCTCTGGTGCCCATGGCCAATGTGAGGCTTTAATCCGAAGTGCAGGTTACTTACAGATTACCAGGAATCATCCAGTGGGTCACTGCCTGGGCTGAGGGACTGAAATACAGTCCACACCCTAGAAAAACTGCATCTCAGAGGGCTGGGGATTTAGCTCAGTGGTTCTGTTGCCTGCCCCGCAAGCACAAGGACCTGAGTTCCATCCCCGGTACCAAAAACAAAAAACAAAAAAACTGCATCTCAGAGAGCTCGAGCAAGGCTGCAGTTATAGCATGGAGTGGAAGTGCTCAGTGCTAGAGTCAGTTGTTAAGAAGAAAGGTGCACAACATGGGGCAGGGTGAAGAGCAGATGCTCCAGCTGGACCTGGAATTCAGAGTGGATTCGACACAGCAGCAGCATCAGGAACAAAGCTAGAGATGGGGTTCAGGGACCAAGGCGTGAATGGCAACAAGTCAGTGAACAGAGTCTGGACAGAGGACTGTGCTAGTGTGTGCACACCTGGTGGATTGGCTTAGAGGTTTGTTTGTTTTGTGTTTTTCTGCAGTACTAGGATCAAACCCAGGGATGCTCTAACTCCAAGCTACATACCCAGGCTTTTTTCCTTATTATCTATTTTTTGAGACAAGGTCTCACTAAGTCGCCCCAGTTGGGCTTGAACTTTCGATCATCCTGCCTCAGCCTCCTGAGCAGCTGAGATTACAGGTGTACACATCACACCTGGCCCTTGCTGGTTGTTGAAGGTCGTACTTTGCACAAAAAAATAATAATTTCTCCTTCATTCCCAGTCTCGCTCTCTGAAGTCTCAGCTACCTATGGCCAACTGTGGTCTGAAAAGATTATCTGGAAAATCCCAGAAATGAACAAGTTCCTGAGTTTCAGATTGCAGCCATTCCAAGGAGCAAGGTGGACTCTCCCACCTTCCCAGCCATCCCACCCGGGGCGGATACTGTGCTTTTGTCTAGCATCTGCACGCAGTGTTTGCCCCCTATGCAGTTTTCAGGTTAAGTGCATGGTGTCGTGGGCTGGTGTTCGGGTGCTCTTACTTAGCGATGGCCCCAAAGCACAAAGGTCATGACGCCAGCCACTCAGATGTGCCAGGGAGAAGCTGAGGAGAACTTCCTGTAAGTGAAAAGGTGAAAGCTCTTGTTGTGGGCTCTAGCTGCCCAGGGCTGCAGGGGCTGTTACTACTCTGTCCCTGTGCTTGACCAGCAAATTACGCTTGCCGCAGGTACCTATGTTTCAGGAAGAGCTCATGTGTTCTGAGCTCACACTGCCCTGGACCCAGCATCCTGTCCTCTGCAGCGATTGGACCACTGTCCTGGCCTGATTGCTCTGTGACAAAGGCAGCTGCGAGAGGCTGATGTGGCATCAGGAACCCAGCCAGGACAGAGCCTCTGTGTGTTCCAAGTCCAGGCTCCAGCCCAGAGTTGCCACTGGCTGCAGGAGCCAAGAACCAGATGTTTGCCTTCTCTTGTTCCCTCTTATATAAGACATAAGCCTCTTATCAGCATCTTTTCATCTTAAATAAGAAAAATCTATAATATTGAGGATGCCCAAGCATTGATAATGGTCAGCTCTGAAGAGAAAGCAAGCCAGCCTGAGTACAGAGAGGGGCTGAATCTGAAAGCCTCTGAGTTTTCACTGGGTGATCGAGTTGTTCGAGCCTTATGTCTTCATTCTTGTCTTGGTTTTCTATTCTTTTCTACATGTGCTATTTATATGACAAAGACATTGCAGGTTTTTAAAAAGCTAAGCTCTCCTGCCGGGGATTTAGCTCACTGGTTCCGCTGTCTGCCTCCCAAGCGGAAAGTCCTGAGTTCGATCCCCAGTACCAAAAAACCAACAAACAAACAAAAAAAAAGCTAAGCTCTCCGGCTCCACACCCTGCACATGCACAATCCTCTGTGAAATAAGAGCATTTGGGTGTCTGCTCCCCAGTATTTCCAGCTAAAGCCCATGGGCAGGTGGGCTGGGTGTTGCTGAAGTCCCACTGATGCCTGACCAGCGAGGCTGGCTCTGGCTGGTTCTGGCTCTTTGCATCCCTGAAGAACACTGAGTGATTGTGGCACTTTCTGGTTTTGCTTTATTGATTAAAATATATTATTATACCACAAAGACCAGCTTCCCCACAAATTGACAGAAGAGAGGCATTTTACCCGCAAACCACAGAAGAGGGGTGACTCCGAGGATGTGGCTGAGTGCAATCATCAGTTTCTTATAATGAATGATGATTCCTAAGAATGTCAATAGAAAACTACGGGACATATCGGATCAAGGCGTACGGACCAGGACCAACAGCCTGGTGGAGCAGCAAGTGCTGAGAGAGTGAAGATCTCGCCTGTTTAATAGAATCAAGTTCACCTGTAGATGACTGACTTCTCAGGGGGAAATAATATCAACATCTGCGTCTTCCCTTCCATAGCCAAGCTTGCCGACCTGAAGTTCACTTTAGATTTCATGCCATGGTTTTAGAAATTTGCATGAATGTCCAGTGATTGCACTTTCCATAGGGAAGGTAAATGTAGGCCAGGTTAAGCAGTGCAGGGCACAGGTACTTGGATGCCACCGGGCCCCCTGCAGGTGAAACCTGGGATGACCCAGGCCTGCTGGTCCCCATAGTTTGCTGGGAGAAGCTCAGGTGTCCATGTGGCTTTTGTGCGAAGAGCAGTTTCCAAAGCACAGCAGGACAGGATCTTTTACCAGGGGCCAAGGAAAGTGGCCGCACACCTGCCTGGGCTCCACAACCTCAGGGGCTCAAGCTGGAGGAGCCAGTTGTGGTCAGCTCAGAATTTAGATTGTGCCCTGGCCACAGGACTTGTTGCTCTAGGAAACGGGAACAAGAATGTGTGTTTGATATTCTGTAACAGTCATCTCGGAGGAGAGCAGCGCGTGGTCTCCGTTCTCTAGATGGGGCCGTTTGGATTTTGCCTGATCTCGCCGCACAGGCCGTCTCTGCAGATGCCCGCTCCACAGTGGCAGCCCCGGGGCTCACGGGCAGGCCCACTGGATGGAGAGTGGGTCACGCAGGCCGAAGGGTGGTGAGGACAGCCACGCCTCCAGCAGGCAGCCTCGGGTCCCCTGCCGCACACCTCACAGCAGCTTCTCAGCTCCTCCCAGGCAGGGACTCGTCGCACCATCTGCATGCCCTGGATCCCTGAGCCATGCCTGCCAAGATCTGGCACCTTCAGAGCAGCGGGGAGGGTGACAGCCAAGGGGCTGTGGAGATGTGAGGCGGACCCTTCCCTCCCGGCCCCCACAGCTGTTCCACCGTCCTGCTCCAGGTGCCAGGGACAGAGAGGCCACGAGGGTCCCCTGGGGGTGTGGGGGCGTGGGGAGCTGGAGGCTGAGGGAACGTGGGCCCCAGGTCCCAGGTGCTGCCTTTGCGCTCACGTGCGCACGCACACACACGCCTGTGTTTCTGTGTCGCGTGTGGGCCCAAGACTGCCGTTCCCTGAAATACACTAGACACGGGCCTTGAGAAGCTTTCTGAGTCCGCTGGGTCTCAACTGGACGGATCCTAAGGGACGAGCCAGCATGCCGGCCACACGGTGTCCCTGTGACAGGGAGTTCAGAGTCTCGGGGTCCCCAGCTGCTTCTAGCACTCTGGCCTTGCCGGCAAGAGCCAGTTCAGCCAGGGGCGGAACAGCGAGAGTCGAGATTTTTGTCTGTTTAACACTAGAACCTCTTAACGTGGGCACAGCCCTGTGTGCCCTGTGCCTTAGGAGCAGCATGCCCAGGGAGTCAGAGAAGCACACCATTTTCAAGGAAACGACTTCCGTGTGGACACAAGAAGGACAAGGGACAGACGAAAGGGCTGAACTCAATAGTTGGTGACTCTCACCATCTCTAGGGTAAACCAGTTCCCAAACCCCTGCCTCATAACCTGCGTTTTCACATGGATAGTGCATGTGGAAGCATGCAGCCATCTCACATGCTGGTGCCCACCATGGCACAGGCAGGATGTGTGTGTCAGCCCCTCCCTGGGAGATGATGGCTTCTCATGAAATGGGCGTCCTTGGCGACCTGGTGGTGTGCCCACGGGGCCATCCGGAGCTCAGGAGAGACAGCTGCCTTGGGGCTGTGCCCAGCAGGGCATCCCCACTCTCCCCGACCCACAAGGGTCCTGGAGGCTGAGTCCCCACCTCAGGCTCTGACGCCACTTTGACTGTGAGGTCACTGTCTGGCACTGTGCTTCCTGTTTGTCAAGTAGATAATTTTGAGGAATTCTTAGCAGGTAGAGTCTGTTGGTAGCTGGTGGTCAGGAAGAGGAGGAGAAATCGAATGACTGGAGCACAGGACATCCACTAGTGAACTCAGTTCATTAGCAGTTCTCATCTAATGGGGTGTTAAGCCCTGTTTTTTAGCCTGTCCAGGGATGTTCTTTGCTGTGAACTGTGTCACCACATCCGCTCCTGCTCACGTGGGCAGCACTGTCCTCGGGCTGCTCCCAAGCACCAGCTCCACCACCCTTGCAGCCCCAACCCAGAGCCCCCGCCCTGTGCACTGTCCCCTGTGTCCCCTGGTGCAGCGCCCTGGCCTGACCATGATCCTGTGCCAGGGTCCACCCTACCTGCTCCAGCCCAGAGTCCCTCACCCTCACATATTTCCATGCCAGCTTTGTCTGGACCATCTGCATGTTTGAAGCTGGTGTGCCAGGGTTCACACTGCTCCAGAAAGCACCATAGGATTCAGGAATGCTTGGTGCCCAGGGCTCAGGGAGCCCTGTGTTCCATGCCCTGCACACCCTCCTGACTGCCTCTCCTTTTCAGGCCTACATGGAGGACCACCTGCAAAACAAGAACCGGCTGGAGAAGGAGTGGGAGGCCCTGTGTGCCTACCAGGCAGAGCCCAGCAGCTCACTTGCCGCCCAGAGGGAGGAGAACCTGGCCAAGAACCGCTGCCCAGCTGTGCTGACCTGTACGTACCAGCAAGTGTCTGCAGGGGTGGGCACCCAGCCTTGGCCTGCAGAGCCCCTTCTGTACCAGCCTAGGTTCGAGCCCCAGGACGGGGGTTGGGAGTAGTTGGGCCAGCAGATACACATGCTCAGACTGCTCATGTCTGATGGGGAATGGACCAGCAGCTTTGGCTCAGGACTGAATCCAGCCTGCTCCTCGGGGACACACCCTCCAGTAACAGCTGGCCCATTGGTGTGTCCTTGCCCTGTCATCGGCCTGCATGGCCTTGGGGCACCATCTTCACAGTGCTGGCAGCACGTTCAGAGGTGAGGAGCCCAGTGATGGCGGAGCACTGTCCTCAGGAGCAAGGCCTCGGGCAGGGCCGGGAGGACCAGGGCCCCGCACATCCCCTGTGCCGAGCCCTCAGCCTGCCCCACCCGAGGCTGAGAGAGCGATGCGTCCAGAAGTGCCAGGAGGGGCCCAGCTACCCTCAGGGTCCTGGCTGCCTGGCTAGCACTACAGGGCTGGGGTAAGCGTGGTCCCATGGGGCTGGCGAGTCCCGTGTCTGGCTGTCACACGTGGGTGGGGTGTGTTCGGGGGAGTGGTGCACTTGGCCCACACGTGTGCCTGCCCTGCTGTCTGGCCCTCCCAGCTCTGGTAGGGGCCCTGGCTCTCTCTCATCCTCTCTCTGTCCACCCTGTCCTCCCAGCCGGCGGAGCTGGGCCTGCAGTGAGGCTGGAGTGGACCATAGGCCGCCTTCCTGGGGCTCCAAGGGAGCCTGCCAGATGTTCCTGGCGGTGGCGTCTTGGTGTCTTCAGGAGGAAATGGGGTCTGTTGTGCACTCTGCATTTGCTCCTATGACCATGTCTGGTGATGACATTCTTGGGTTCCCACGTTTTCCCAAGAAAGGTCTTCACTGTGCACCCTCCAGCCTCCCGTTCCTCCCTGATGCTGCCTCCCCACTGGCTGAGTGCAGCAGGTTGCTGTCACCTGCCCCCAAGCGTGAAGCCACAGCCCATCCCTGCTCTGTCCAACACAGCGTGGCCTCTGAGTGTGTTCTCCCGCTCACCCTGAGCGGCCCGTGCCCGCCCTCCCCACTTCTGGGCCTTGGCCCATGTGGTCCTGTCTGAGTGCAACTCCTGGTGCTGAGGCCACAGGACACTCACAGCAGGATCGCTGGCCACGCTGGGTCCCTCCCAGCACAGAGATTCATTCCATGGAGTGCTCTTGAGAGGAGAAGGCTGCCGATGCTCATGAGGTGCTTGGTCAGCCCTAGAGTCGGTCTCATTCTGTTATCTCAGAAGTGTGAGGCCCTTAATGTGCTCGTGCATGGCCAGTGTTTTGCATGGTTTAAAAAGAGCAGTTTGTTGTCTGCCTCTCAAATTAAGAACAGAACTCTGATGCTATTTTGGTGCACTGTTTTAAGCAGAAAAAACCCTTTGGTTCTGTGTTAGAATAACCAGAGAGAGAGAGAGATGCAGACACAAAGCATGACTGGAGAATTTTGAGAGAGGATGGAGGGCTGCAGACCAGGGGCACAGGACAGATGGGGGGTCCTGTTCTTGGGTCCTGAAAGCATCGTCAGACAGGGCCGTGCCAGCCCAGCTCACGGTCCCAGAGCCAGGTTAACTGGGCCATGCAGCCTCTCTCTCCATCCTGGCTTTCTACCCAGAGAGGATGGAAACCTCCAAGGACCCAGGGCCACGTGGGTGCCCTCAGTCTGGTGCTCTTGCAGGAAGGTGGAGTTTGCATCCCACAGGTGCCCTTGGCCATGTTGGCCACATTGGCAGCTGTCCCCTGAAACCTGGGTCTTTCCCATGAGGGCCATTGCTGGGCCAGGACCCCTGGCCACCGTGCACCCTTCCACAGTCTGTGAGTGTGACAGGGACCTGACCTTCAGTGGTCTCTGGGGGTGGAACCCTGTTCAGAACCATGAAGAACCTGGCCCTTGACTCGCCGTGGCCCCTACCCAGTGCCGCCACCTTTTGTTCGGTACACGTTTCTCCTGTCTCCGTGTCACAATAGAACAGAGCCCAGGACGAGTGTGGGCTCCATGTCCAGCCTCTCCACACTGGCCAGGACCAGCCTACAGGGAGTGGAGTGTGGACCCAGTGCAAGCAACATGTCCCCACAGTGTCCTCCTGATGCCTGTGTAGTCCTTGGTATGTCTCCCTTGTGCAAGTGAAGGAGCCAGAACTGGAGGTCCTTCACACCCACAGCTGAAGTCACCAGAAGGTGCCTAGCCTCCAACCTGTGATGATTGCCCACTGGCAGGCCCGCTGCATCCCCTATCTGCTCCCTAGGGGTCCCCCTTCTGGGGTTCGGTGTGGTCCCCTGCCAAGTTGGACATGCCACTACTTCCACGTGTCATCACGCTGCATCTGCATGACGTGTGTGTGTGTGGGCTTCGTTTATTCTTGGCTGTACTATTTCAAAGTAAGTTTCAGGCAGTGGACATCAAAGTACTCTAGTCCACAATTCCTGAAAATAAGGACCTTCTCCTACACACCTGCTGCCATCGTGACCAAGGAAAGTGACAGTAACTCCCTGCATCACCCCATATCTAGTTGTATCCCCTTGCTTGAGCTGCCTGCCCTAACAGCATGTGGGTGGCTCCAACACCAGAGCTTATTCTCTCTGGGTCCAAGCTGACATCCTGATCAAGGCGTGGCTGGGTTGGTTCTGCCTGCAGGCTCTCTCCTGCGGCTCAGACAGTGTCTTCTCCTGTCTGTGTCCAGATCACCCTTGCTAAAGACACCACCCCCAAGACCTTGTCTAACTTGATGACCTCTGTATGGATCCTGTTTCTGGGTACACATGTCTTTTTGGAGGGACTCAGCTCAGCTCCTGGGAGTGGCCTAGACACATCCCCTGCTCTGCCTAGCACACAGCCACGCCTGGGAGTTCCCCTTCCACACCGAGGCAGGCAGTGGGGCTCATGTGGTCAGACTCAGACCCTGTATTCTGCTTGCACACAGGGTCCTGTTTGGGGATTGCTTTTTCAGAGACCTGTTGGGAATGCTGGTGACACACCTTAGAAATAAGAGTACTACTCAAGACCTCCACCTTTAGGTCACGGTCATGGCTCCGGAGCTCTGCTGGTGGGCTCAGGGCAAGGAAGCCAAACACAGGCCATCATTGCTTGGCAGCTCCCCAATAAACCCTGGAGGGAAACAGTCTTATGTTGAGGCTGTTGCAGTATGCAGGGGGCTTTTCTGATGTGACACCCCAGCCATGCCTGTTTGCCCAGATGCAAGGCCACATCACCATCCACGGAGGCCATAAATAGAGCTCCGTGGCCTTCTTCTGTGCACAATGACCTTCATGATCTCCCAATCCTGGGTCACAGGCATCACAGCGGGAAGCACATAGTGTGGGGAGGAGCCTTCATCCACAGAGGATGCACCCCACAGATGGAGTCTCAAAGTCACACTGCCACTTGTCTTCATGTCTTCAAATCTGCAGAGAGCCTCGTCAATTGAGCATCCCAGAGCTAAACAGATGTGGCATGATGATGTGTCACTTTGTGTCTACTGTGACAAGTCAGAACACAGCCTTCCATGTGCAGTAGCTAGAGAGGCAAGGCAAGCACCTGTGGCTGGTGTAGGACAGCAGTGGGTGACCACCACAGAGACCTCACCATGTGTCATACCTCCAGTGGATCCATGAAACCAGAGAGGAGCCGTGGTCACGGATGCCATCCCAGGCCAAGAATCCCCTGGAGCTGCACAGCCCTGACCTTCCAGGGCAAACTGCCACCATCACCAGATGTGTCCATGTCGCCATCAGCCACACCACTGAGGCAAGAACATGGTACCCATGGCATACATGATTCCATTTAAATCTCAACAGAAAATGCAGACAGCTGAGGGCCCTGTGATCATTGATCCTGGTGCCAATTTGATTAGAGTGAGAGACACTCAGCAGATGAGTAGAGCAGGGTCCTGGATGTGTCTGTCTGGTCATGGGGTGTCTACCTGGTCCTGCACCACGTCCTCCTAGTGCTCTTCCCCTCTGCTGTGCAGCCACCATGAAGGACCACCATGAAGGGCCACTGTGCCCTTCCACCATGAGGCTCCAGCCTTGGAACAGCCGACCGTGGAAGAAATCACCTGAAACCACATTTGTGCTCTCCTCCTTTAGGTTTGGGGTGCCAGTGTTTGTCCACGGACAGAAGAGCTGACTGACACAGCCCCACCTGGATAGGGTGGCTCCATTACCCAGCACCATGGAGCCAACACGTGTGGACCCCTACTCCATTTGATGTTCTGACCAAAGCACTTAGGGACACACCAGTGAAAAGCCAGGCTGTTGGACTGCACACATGGGCTCCCTCAGATGAGAGGAAGAGCAGAGCCACACTGCAGGGAGACATTCAAGTCATGGGCAGCATCCAGGTGCCTCCCTCAGGGACACAGCTGGCTCCAGGCCTGAGTCCACTGACCTGGGCTACAGAGGGCTCTGTGGGCCTCCAGCACAGCCACTGTTCACAGGAGACATTGGGAATTTGCTTCTCCCTTGGTTGCTCACAAAGTTCATCTTACATTTACTGCAGAGATCGTGTGCCCTGGGTGCACTACGCCCACATGGAGGCCTGTGCTCTGGCAGATATCCTCTGTGACCCAGAGCTTCCTCTTGAGCTCCTTGTTGCCCATCCCAGCAGCCTGTGGGCTGGGTGCCATGACTATGTTCAGGAAGAAGAACCTGATGTGTGACACATGAATCATCTACCTCAGCATCACCTGGAGAGTTCGTGGCAGGACTGGGATGTGAGGCCATGTCTGCTGCTGCTAAGGACCCGGCTGGCCCTCCTGGGCCTCCCTTTCTCCAACTAAATAAGTAAATTGTGCCTACTTGACCCATGGCACAAGGATCCAGGTGGTCAGAGATGATGTATGTGAAAATGCAGAGCATCAGAGAAATCTGTGGTGTCCAGTAACACCAACAGGTCCTTTAGGAGCTTGGGGAGGAGGCCCGAGATATTCATTCCACAAGCGTCCTCTCCACACTTGCTTCCTCCGCCCCTCTCTGGAAAGACAGAGATCTGTGGTTCACTGTTAGAGGAAAAGGAAGGAGCTAGTCAGACTTCCTGTTGCTCTGGCTCTAGAGTCCAGGGTCTCTGAGGAGCCCTCCCTGAAATGCACTGTGGCCCCAGTGCTAGGAGGGTACGTGCTCTGGGAACAGGCAGCTTAGTCAGGAGTGCAGGGAGTGACCACCCAGCTTGCTTCCCCAGCTTGCACTGAGCCTTGTGCCAGCACCCAGCTCCTGCCAGGCCACCACCCTCCCCAGCATCCTAGCAGACGTAGGCAACCTTACCAACCCTGGCAGTGCCAGAGCCTAACCTTGGGAAACCCATAGCTTGGCGTGGGCATCTCTTTAAAAAGATGAACCACAAAGTAGTCTGGAGTTGTGCCCAGCAGCCAAGTCTCCACCCGACAAGCCTCGTTCCTATGCACACAGAGCCAGCTGCTATGCTCCATCCCTCCAGTGGTGCCTCAAGATGGCCCAATGCCAAAAACAAAGTATTGTCACATTTAATTTTAAGAGCCAGGTGTTGATGCAGAACCACAGATACCTTCCAAGGGAGGAGGGCTCTGAAGCTCTTGTAGCCCTTGTGCCCAGCTGAAATCAGGCACTACAGCAGTTCTGTGGTGTGGCTGTCACCATACTGGGGTGTGGCAGGCTCCCGACAGACTGTCCCGCCAGTCCACAGTGCAGGTGGGGTCCTAGGAGACCACATCCATGTCTCACAGAGACTCCCCAATTTAGGGGCACCTCCCAGCTTTGCAGTGAGAAAACAGCCATCCATGGCATACAGGGGCCAGGGAGTGAGGCAGCACTGTCCCCTGTCAGAGGCGGGTTCTGCCACCTTCCCACCCTGCGTGTGGCCCTTCTGGGGTGCATGTGCTGCATCCCACCCACAATGCAGGAAATTGCAAGCTGTGGTTTTTCCTTCCCTGTCTCCATTTACTCCCAACCTGCTCTTTGTAACAGTTCCTTGGACAACTAGGAGCGGTCACCTGTTGCCATAGCACATGTGCCTAAAATCGCCTGGGTCAAAAATACTTCAGCCCTCAGAACCCAGATAAGAGTCCAGCTCTTCATTCCAGATTTCAGTGTAGCTGTGCCCTGAGACAGTGGGCTGCCTCTGCATACAGTGGGAGTCTTGTTTGTAGGATTATGCAGCACCACGCTGTGAATCAGAGCTTCTGGACTCTGATTTTGGGGGCAGTGTTTGTAGGATGTCGGGCAGTTAGAGTTGACCAATTTTTTTCTCATGAATTTTATTTCAATTTCCTGTCACTACCACTTTGCACTCTCTTAGGAATAAATATGTCCAGGAAGAAGCCAAGGCATCCCTGGGACTTTAAGATTGTTATTCACACGTTTGCTGAAAGCCAATGGGCTGGGGTGTGACAGAGCACTTGTCCAGCACACTGGAGGCCTTGATTTCAAGCCCAAGTACCAGGCAATAAAAGCTGCTAGGGTGACTTTGGAACCCCTCTCTCTATGACAAACCACACACACACACACACACACACACACGCGCGCGCGCGCGTGCGGGATCAACTGTGTCCATGGGGAGAGCTCCCAGGAGGGTCTCTGGCTCCATCACATCGCCCACAGATGAACTTTCCAAATTTCACCTGTTACAAGATTCACCGTTTCCCAAGCCCCAGAATCTGTTGGTTTTTAAAAACTGAGTAAAATCTCCAAGACAAATGAAGGTTTAAGCCAAAGCACAGTCTCCAAGCCTTCATTACCAAGCCACGCTGGTGACTGGGTCCTTTCTTCCAAAGAAAGTGGCTGTACACGTGGGGATTGCGGGCCAGGGAGAGCCAGAGGAAGGCTCCCACACTGGCTTCCGGAGGCCTCCAGACAGACGTCGCCATCTCAGGAGAGAAGACCAGGGTCAGGTCCCACGCAGCACTTGTGGGGCGGCACTGTGCCCCTCCTCTCACCGCACTCCTCCGCCTTCCTGCTGAGGGCGCCCTGCAGGGCTCACTCCATGGCAAAGCCAGGTGGCTCATGCACTGTCCACACTGCTCTTCACGAATCCCTAATACTGTGGTGGGTCCAGTGTCTCCCTATTCGGGCCGTCTTCGTGCTCACGAGCCTCCTCTGGATGCTCCTGCATGTTCCCTTTTCATCTGCAGTCTCTTTAGGTCTGAACCAGTAACCTTAGGGATGTAAGCATTCATCAACTACAAAACCTTACATTTCAGATGACAGCCGGTTGGCTCATGTTCTCACTTATGTCTATTCATTGTACGTTGACAGCTGTATCTGTGATGTAAAGGCAAACAGCGTAGAAAATATCACAGAGGAAATAACCTTGGTGTTTGAGCTTTACGTGAAAGAGACATTGGGATCCCTCACTCCTAGGTGGGCTCTGGGCCACGCCCCAAAGACCCTGGCTGTGCCTCCTGTGCTGAAGGGAGGAAGAGAGACCCCGTTAGAAGGGACTCAGGGACCAGCTGGCCCTGAGCCTGAGGGCTGCACAGCCTCTCTGTGGGTACAGGGCTGTCTGAGCCCCAGTAACCTGCTCTGGTTCTGCTTACAGATGACCACTCCCGGATCCTACTGAAGGCCGAGAACAGCCACGGCAACTCAGACTACATCAACGCCAGCCCCATCGTGAGTACCGCCAAGGCCCGGCCAGCTCTCCTCAGGGAGCGGGAGTCCCTAGAAAGTCTCCCTTCAGGGCCTGGCGCCAGTGTCCCGGGCCTCCTGCCTCTCTCTCAGGCAGGCCGCTTGGGCAGGGTGGACCTGGTGCTCAGGGAGGACTGAAGGTCCGAAATGATGAGGAACCCATGCCCAGAGGACACTCATGCTGGGGGCAGCCCCTTTCCTGGAGCGCCTGACTTATTCTCCCTGTGTCCCAGGGAGACAGAGATCCAGCCCCAAACCCACCCCTGTGTCGATGACCTCGAAACCAGCTCAGAGCTTCAAAGTCTTCTGCTCTGGGTTCTCTGGTGGTCAGGATCCTTTTAATAAAACTCGAGCCGGCGTCTGGGTCTGTGGCTTCGAGGACCACACATGAGGATGAAGGAACCCTGCATCTGGGCACAGTGGCATGATGGCCTCCCCCGTTCGAGCATCCTTGACTTTCATGGGGCTCCTCACTGGCCCTCGAAACCTGTGACTGTGGGCACCACCTAAGTGTTCACCCGTACCAAGCCCAGGGGCAGCAGGCAGCCTCAAAGGGGAAATTGGGTGAGCAGAGGGGGCAGGATGAGCAGTACAGAAGCCAGGCCACGGGGTCTCCTTGGCAGAGGGGCCAGGATGCAGGGTCTCCTTGATGGGGGCCGGGCTGTTCTCCCAGGTAAGCAAAGGGCAGGTGCGAAGAGAAGAAAATGAGGTGTCCAGAGCCAGGATCCTGGAGACCCCATGCGACCATTGGTGAAACCAAGCGGGAAAGTCACAATTCAGTGTGGGTTTGTGACCCAAGATGTGTTTCCCATTCCACACTGCTCCTCCCCCTCAGCCTTCAGGGTGGCATCAGGGAGGTCACTGGAATTCCAGCCTGCAGGATGCCCTGCCCCAGTAAGGTCGAGAGCACTCAGGTCATCTCGGGTCCAGCATGTCCATGGGGTCCCCGACCCTCCTGCCCTTGGGTTGCTGCTGTTGGTGAGAATGAGACCCTAAAAGGCACATGAGGGCTTCAGGTGGCAGTACGTCTTTGGCTGCTGATCACTTCAGCACCATTGTCTTTTCCCTGAGACCCCAGAGTCACCTTCCCTGAAGAGTCACAGCCCACGAGGAGAGCACATGCACTTTGGAAAATGAACTCAGAATGGGGAGCTGGTCCAGGGTGCTCTATCTACACCCACCTGCTCCCAACCTGGCAATGGGTCATGAGGATGACTTCCTCACCTCGCAGAAGTGGCCACAAGGTGGGTCCATCTGCCCTGGATGTTCTCGCCTGATGCTGACCCTTCTCCACAAGACCAATTCAGAAACACAACCAGCATCTTATGCACTGACTCAGCTCATGATTCTTGAACAACACCGTTCCTTGGGAACAAGGCCTGTAGGTCCCTGGATTTATCCCTGACCAGTAGGTGATAGTGATGACCACTCAGCACTGTCTCCAAAGGGCTGGGTTGTACCTCAGAGATAGAACACATGCCTACCAAGCAAAGCCCCAGGTTTGACTCCCAGTACCAAAGAAATAACAAAACTGAAGGAAAAGAAAAGCCATTTTCTCCCCAAGCAGTCATCCCTTTCCCTGGAACACACCAGATGCCCAGGCCAGAGTGAAAAGCAATGTTGTCACCTTCAAGTCCCAGCATCAAGAATCTGAGGTGGCTGAGCCCAGCTCCCCCAGCATGGTGGGTCCGGATCTGCAGCAGCTGAGGTATCCCAGCTGGTCGGGCTCGGTGGCACACGCTGGGTGCAGCAGCTGCACTGTGTAACATGCACACACACACTCACACACACACACACACACACACACTTCTCTGGTGTGAGTCCAGAGCAGCCTCCCTGTCCTGGACCTGAGACAGAAGCCAGTGCAGGAGAGAGGAGTAATTTTATGGTGCCTATTCTGTTTCTTCTTCACTTCATACCACAATTCTATTTTTTTTTTTTTTTTTGGTCAAATCTGAGCTGTCGGAATGAACTAGAAACCCACAGTGCCTCTTCGCTCTGAAATAAATGGAGGCTGAGTGATAATGACCTTCCAGCAGCCGTTGAATGGAAAGCTTGCAATTACAGCACAAGACCCTGGCTGTGCAGAATGAAACTATGATAATTGCATCTGTCATATTTGTACTTAGTCCTCATTAAATTTCAGGGAAGCCACCAGTAGTAAATAATGTGCAATCTTTGCTTTTAAATCAGAGGTCATGAAAGCAGATGGGAATTCTGCTCCTCTGCTGGGGCGTCTGAGAGAAACCCATCAGCTTCTCTCAGGACTCAGCTTAGTTATTCTGGAGGAGAGTGCTGGACTGGGGCTCCAACAGCACAAGAGCTGATGACCAGGCCCAGGCCTGAGGGTCCTAATGAACCCTGAAGACAAGCCCTCCGTGTTTATTAAAGGCTAGAGATTGCTCTCTGTTTCCATTCAAATTCACTTCCCTGAGCTAAGTGGGGTCAGAGGGCTCCTTCCTCAGCAAAGGACCGCAGTAAAGTGGCCTGAGGCTCCTGAGAGACTGGCAGATACAAGGGCCGACCAACGGTTCTTAGGAACTATTTGCAACCAAGCATCTACGTGCATAATGATGGCTTACTCTCAGCACTGTACTCACAAAAATCTCAACTCAAGGATAAATAGGAAACGACTCATGCTCACGGATCGGTCTCTCTCCTGATGGCTTCTGGAGCTGAGGCCCCAGCAGATGCCACTCTTGGCACCGGGACCTGTTAACCCAACCTATTAACCCAGCTAAAGTCTAAAGTTTTGAAGAAAGCATTAGTGCCAGGTGTGGAAACACACAATCCTCCAGGGCACCTCCAGTGGGCACGATCCCCGTGAGCCCTGGGCTTTGGGACAGGGTTTGTAGTCTTGGGAGGTTGAATGCTCTGTTTCTAGAATCATTCCATTTGGTTTGGAATATTGGGGGACTGCCACTGGGGTTTGTCACACAGATTGAACCAGTCAGGCAACTCACGTATGGACTGTCACCCCACAGCTGATGGCAGATCCCAGACCCTGCATTCAGAACACAGTAATGCTTCACTGGGTCCCTTCCTGAGGTGGCTCCACTGAGGGACAATGGAATCAACACAAGTGAATGATTTTTCTTTTTCTGAAAAAAAAAATGTTCAAGAAAAATTATACTGTTGGTTGTACCTGGGTCCCCGTGTCCTCTGACCATCAGTCACTGTGAAGTCACTTGAAATCAGTCAGGCTGGACCATCTGTGACCTCGCAGAGGAGCTGGGGAGCAAGTGCTTAATACTGAGATGGGCTCCTGGGGTGGGTGCTTTGCCCTGCAGCAGCTCACAGGGAGAGGCAGGCTCTGCACACAGCCTCACCCCCCCAGAGCACGGAGTCCCAGGGTTTCACTGCAAGACACAGATGTATGTGTAGACCAGTCCGCACACACATGTGCACACGAGCCCAGAGCTCCCGGGCGCCTAGAGGTGACACTGTCTGACACCCCCTTCCCAGTACCCCATTTTACAGGCACTGAGGCCCAGACTGCACTGACTCTCCACGGTCACAGAGTTTGCTTATGGGACACAGCACCACCCCGATATAAAGCCCATCAGAGGCAGATGGAAGCTAGAGGAGGAACGGGAAGATGAGGCATGAGGACGGAGGACGGGGAGTCCCCAGGAAGATGGCGGAGCCCCGCCTGCAGTGGAGGCCCTGCCCAGGCCTCCCTAGAGACAGCAGTGCTGCAGACTCGCCCACGTCCCCTGTAGGCCCGATCCTGCAGTGACAAGCGAGGGCCTCTGTCAGTGTAGCCACTCATCGCCCTGCTCTGCCTCACAAAGGACTGCGGCAGGCTCTGCACCCCTCTAGTCCCACCCTCTCCAGGGAGCATGACTGAGATGGGTACCATACCCCAGCAGAGGTGGCCGAGGAGCAGCGGGAGGGCACATGGGGAGCTGGCTGGTGTCAGAGCCCCTTGCCAAGACCTTGCTTCCTTTGCTTAGCTCTGGGGTGCTGAACAGGAGGTGGGTTGGAGTAATTTCTAAATCTCAGTGACTAAGACCTATCTCAGAAGTTAGCACATTTGCCTTCTGTTGTAGTCAAGAAATACATTTAATACAGGACACCGTTCATAGGACTCTTTTATGATATTTACCCAAAAAGTCAAATACAGAGGAGTGCAAGAGATTAATCGCACACTAGAGGCCCAGAGAATCCAGCCAAAGACCTGGATCCCACAGCAATGTCCCACACAGGTCCAGCTAAAGCCCTAGAGTAGAAGGCAATGTGACACACGAGTCCAGCCAGTGGCCTAGAGCCCAGGCAATGTCTCATGCTTGTCCATATTGAGGATCTGCACCTGGAAGGCCCAAAGGCCAGTAGTGGAAGCCCGAAAACCTACACTGGTGTGGTGAAGGATTTGTGCCACCAGGCTGAGGGACCCATACAGGAAGTGATGCTCAAGGTGAAGATCAGAGGTCCCCTGATAAGAACAGCAGCCGTTCCCAGCAACAGCTCCTCTGATGCCGAGAACAGCCAAGTTTGCATCAGGAAAACCATCCGAAGCAAGCTTCTCCTAGAAAATAAGCAGGCCATGATCTTCCCCTCCAGTTCTCTTTTTATGGCTATTGGCTACAATCCTCCAGTGGATCTTCCACACCCAGACCACACTGATTCAGCTCAGCTGGGTGTTATAAGGTGACCATTAGTTAATCCAGCACACCTTCCAAAAACCCTGTCCCAATTTTTACTCTAAATCTTATATTTTTCATTTTGAAGGCACCTAAACTGCCAGCATGAGCACATAATTTTCTAAAGATGTTGCTTGGGGCAGGGAAACACATGCAGGCAGGTGCATCCACCTGCAGGGAGGAGGACAGGGTCTCCTAAACAGCTATCGCCCCAGCAAGTGCACATCCTAAACAAACTCCTTATTTCTGCCAAATGTTTTTCTACTGCAACATTGGTGGGGGGGGGGGTGGTTACCGGAGATCGAACTCAGGATCTTATGCTTGCGAGGCAGGCAGCAGAACCACTGAGCTAAATCCCCGGCCCTCTACTGCAACATTTTAATTGGGGCTTTCAAGGAGAGGAATATAACTTTACCTGTATTGTGTGTGTTAAGGTGAATTTCCAAACAAGGTCCAATTTTAATTATGAAGCCCTAAATTAGGTGCACAAAGCTCTCCAGCTGCCCAGCCATAGGCCAGCACCATGCGGTGTTCTGCAGGGATAACTTACACCTTGTTCCCTGCACCTCGTCAGGGCATGCCTCATCGTGGGTATCCAAACAGCCTCCAAGTTGATGGTGTCCAAGTGTTTTAAAGGGATCAGGGATTTTATATAGCATTAAAACGCTCTCATTTCTCACCATTGAAAAATCTTGAGCCTCAGAGCATCCCGGGTCCCTCGTCACGCTCCTGTCCTCATCCCCAGAAGTGGAGGGCGGAAGTCTGAGCAGGCCACCATCTGCCCCAGCCAGATTCCCACCCTCCTGCCCTCTGGGTGGGTCATAGGGCCCCTGCTGGAGCGTGTAGAGCTTCCTTGTGATGTGGGGACAGTGAGGCAGATGCCCTGTCCTTTGCAGGGTAGCCAGGCAGTACCTGGCATGACTACTCTCCTCAGTGGCTTCAGTCCACTAGTCTCTCAAAGCTTTGTCCTCATGTTCTTTGTATTTTGTCCCTGTGTCATCAGGCTTTGAATATCACGTTGTAATTGAGGTCTTCCAGCCCAGAGTCCCCGCTGGAGCCAGCAGCATGTGCGGGGCAAAGCAGCTTCTGGAAAGGCTCCTGGTCATCTACTTCTTCCCAATGCTGGGCCACTGGGCAGGGATGGACAGAGGGTGGCCCTCGAGCAGGCCAATAACTGCATAAGCCCCCAGGCATGGCCCAGGCAGGTCCAGGCACCCAGCTGAGGCGTGCAGTCATGGAGAGCTTGTCCCTGGGCCCTGGGTGCCCAAGCCCTCCATGGACCTCCCAGAGGGTAACTATTTTAATAGGCAGGCTCTAAGCCTGGGGGCAGAGGACATCCACATGGTACCAGGGCAGCACTGCCCTGAGCCCCACCTCCTTGACTGATCCTGCATAGCCAGGGCCACCAGCCCGCCACACACATGGGGCCCTCAGGGCTCCTGGTCTCTGCTTCTGTTGATGCTGCTGTTAGAACCTCAGTGCGGGCCTCTGAAAAGCATCCTACCTGTGAGTCCAGGCTCAGGGTATGGTGCGTGGGCTGGGTCCCTGCGTGTGGGTGAGTGCCCTCGCCTGCCATGCCACCCTTGTCCTCCTCAGCTGGGGTCCTTCCTCTTCAGTCTTCCAATTGTGCAGCTGACCCTTGTGACAGTCACCTTGTCTCTGCAGATGGACCATGACCCGAGGAACCCTGCATACATCACCACCCAAGGACCCCTGCCCGCCACGGTGGCTGATTTCTGGCAGGTGAGTCTTCTCTAATTACTACTTTTTCTAAAAATAAAATCTTAATAAATTGGCCATGAATTAGGCCTTGAATTCCATTAACCCAGTTCAAACTTGTTTACAGGTGTTCATCAAATATTATAGGATTCCAGAACTTATATGTCCATTAATATTTTCATTGTTGATCTTTCGGTCTTCAGACTTGAGTATGATAAACTCTCATAATTTCATTTTATTCAGTATAAGGAAATGAAGTTCATGCATGTTTACACTGTTACACTTTTATTCAAATGTGCCTCTTACCTGTTGCTTCAGTCTTAGGAAGGTAAAGATGATGCTAAAGTACAGTTCCCCTCTGAGGAGTCTCGTGTGTCTGGAAGGCCAGGCAGCCTCCTCGTGCAGCACATCCTGGATCCCAGACCCAGGCGTCAACATTGAGGGTGAAGGTTAGCATTCCCTAAATAGGAGCAGAACTCTGGATTTCCCCTCGCCAACCTCTGAGAAAGCTAAACAGGAGCAGGTTTGGGAGTGGCACTGTGGTTCTCAGCAGCATGTGTGCTCCCCCAGCAGCAGATGTGACCTCTGCCACTGTACGGCCATGCTGTGTCCCAGGGTAGCACAGGAGGAGGCAAAACCAGCTCATGTGTTGGCCCCGGTGGGTGCAGTGGGTGGAGGCCGCATTGCCGACAGCCATACAAGGCTCATACTGTAGCTAGGCTGTTTCAGCCCTAGATGTGGCACCATCTTCTCATGGAGAAATTCATGACAGTAAGTTAGACCGTAAAGGCCAGTCCGTTCAATCATGTTCCCTTTCCCAACTCTGCCGTCCACCCTCTCTTGCCCCTCCTAGAGGGAGGGGACATTGCTCTCTCTGCCAGAGGTCAGTCAGACAGAGCTTTCTGGGAGTTAGGGAGGACTGGGATTTCCCAAGTGAGACCCAACAGATCCCAGGCTCACCTAGCTGCAGGGAGGAAGCTGGGACTTGCACCATGTTGATGTCACCACCTGCTCTTAGTGTGCCTGCATCTTCATGCCCTGTAAGTCTCATTGTTGAGCCCGTAGCCCTGGGCCCCTCCATCTCAGATGCTGCGCTTCCCTCTGTGTGAGCTCATTCAGTCGAGGAGGACGCTGCACCCCTGTCTCATATGTTGCCCTCCACCTGAACCCCTCATCCAAATGAGCCCCTCTTTCTGCCTGAGTACTGTCGGCACCTGCTGAGGCTGGAGGTAGCTCACTCCAGCCTTGTCCACAGCTCACAGTGTCTTTTAGAGAGTTGTTGAGGAGCACATTCTTGGAATACAAAGGAAACATCTCCAAGTGAAATTACTAGAGAAAATGTTGACCTGAGGTGAAGTACCAGATCAGTGAGATGCCTCGGTCAGGATGCAGCAGACAGTTCCTGGAAACACAGTGTCCAAGACAGAGGAGTTGATGGCTGGATACTCAACCCTGCTGGGATGTCCTTGTGCCCTTAGCAGCAAAGTCCTCCAGGAGGTCTGATCGCAGAAGCTGGCCTCACCTCTCCTGAACTCCTGTGACTGGATATCGTGCTCACATCTGGATGCCTCAGGGATGCTCCTTAAGCAGGAGCAGAGAGCAGCTGCACAGCTGGCCCCGAGCACGGTGGAGAGAGCGGCTGTGTCCTGTGTCTGCAGATGTCGGCATTGTCCAGCATGTCCTCCTGCACTGAGTGATGGCTTGTCCCAGACAGGTACCCTTAAACACCCAGACACAAGACACACACTCAGCAAGGCTGAACCCTTCCAAATCCACAGAAATGGTGGAGTACTTTGGGGAAGAAAACTCAGACGGAAATATGAAGCTGTTGGTGGCAGACAGCAAAGCTAACCTTCTTCCCACTATCTGGATTCATGGCCTTTCACCACCTTGACTGCAAACCTCGAGACACATTACAGCAATGGCCAGCACGTCTTGCTCAGCCCTCCAGCTTTGGGGTGTTGATCTGAGCACCCTGCTAGAGCTGCAAGTGTGTGTGCTTTGTCAGCAGTGAGCAAATTTGCCTTAGGGCCACTGTGACTGTGACAGTGACACACAGCAGGTGGCTTAGGATGACAGGGTTTGTGCTCGCTCAGCCCAGGAGGCCAGAAGGCCTGATTGAGGTGGGGAGGGCTGGCCCCACTGGACGCTGGAGGGAAAACCTGCCCGGTTCAAGATGCCACAGTCACATTTCCTAGATTGTGGCTGCATCTCTCTGGTCTCTGCCCCAACTATTACAGAGCCTCCTTCCCACTGTGTCTGCTTCTGTGTCCAGATTTCCCCCTTTCAAAGACACCAGCCATTAGCCATGGAGTCCATCTTAACTGCCGTGCCCTCATCTTCCCTGGTGACATCAGCGAAGACAGTTTTCCTACATAGAGGCATAGCCCCAAGTTGTTACTAGACATGAGTGGGGGTATTATGGTCCTCCCCAGTACAGTGGCAACATTGCCAGATATAGGTGGATGTACCAGGAACCCTCTTCTGTCCAGGATAAGGACCACATCACCAGATTCTGGCAGAATGTTGTAGGGCCACCAGCCTCACCAGCGCAGTGGCCATGAAGCCAGGCTCTGACTGGATGTAGACAGGGACGCCGCTCCTCCTAGTACCATGTTGTAAGTAGCAGACTTCTACTGAGCAGCCCACTGGTGCCACCACAGTGTTATAACAAATCCTGTGGTCATTGTGGTGTCCAGAGAGTGGGCAGGGAGAGGGCTGGGGAGGAAGGAAGAGCCTGGTGTCCCAAGTCTTCAGAAGGACAGCGCGGCCATGACGAGGACAGGGAGAGCTGGAAAAGGCCACACGTGCCTCCCAGGCTTTGCATCTGGCCCTCCAGGCCCCTCCATCCCTGGCAGTCCCAAGGCCACATGCCCTCCCACCCCACAGCTCCGAGTTTGGGCACTGAGATCCCTGTGCCAGTCCCTGACCTTCTGGGCACATCCAGAGCAAAGCTTGGACATCCAGTAGAGGAGGGGCCGTCCTGTCCCCGCACAGACTGCTTCTTCTCTAGTGATGGGGCTCTTTCCTTACAAACACAGCACGGATCTTAAGACTTATTTCCAAACATCGGATTTATATTTTGAAATTTCAAAACTAAGTATACAGTTGTCCCCACACAGGAGAGGATTGGCTGCAGAGCCGCCCTACACACAGGCCCCAGACCAGGCTGCTCTGGTCCTGACAGAAGGCAACGATCTGGTCACGAGGCCCGCACTTGTCCTCTTGGTCATCAGAGCCGCTCTAGTCACTGACAACACCGAGTCCAGCGCAGGGCGTGTGATGCTGCTGCGCTGCGTCATCCCGAGACTGACAGGAAGGAGGACGCTTGTGCATGTCCTGGGACAATGGTTTTCTTCACATATTTTCAATCCACATGAATTGACTCCAGGGCCATGGAGCCCATGAGTCTGGAGGCCTCGCTGGGACACAGGAGAGAAACCACGACTGTCCCATCCACAAGAAGGCTGAGCACCCCACGTGGGCGCCCACGCCAGGCAGAAGGCTCCGAGGTCAGCTTTCCCAGAGGGGAGCAAACGGACTTAGAAATCATCTGCATTTTAAAGGAAAAAATACCTAGTCTGGGGCAGTGGGGTCATCTTGTCACATGAGTACTTTTTTAAGAGTGTGACACTGTCCTGGGCTGCACCACTTAAAGCCCCCTTCCAGACCTCAGTCCTGTGCTCCAGTCGGCTCAGTCCTCTGGAAGGTGCTGCTCTGTTCCGTAACCATGGCTTCAAACCCACTGCAACTTGTGATGGTCAGTACCCAGGCCGACCAGAGTGCTGGGCGACAGCCAGAGAGGGGAGTTGGGGCCCACAAGAACAGAGTGGTCTTCGGTGGGGGTTCCCATTGGCAGAGCAGACACAGATGTGTACGTGTGTGTGTGTGTGCATCCACATGTTACTGGAGACTAAGCCCAGGGCCTTCATACTGTGCTACATACCCAGCTTTCTTTTATTTTGAAACAAGGTCTCACTAAGTCACTAAGTTGTCTAGACTGGGCTTGAACCTGAGATCCTCCTGCCTCAGCTTCCCAGAGTGCTAAGATTATAGTCATGTGCCACCACCTCCAGCTTATAGGAAATTTCAGTCAGGAGGATTTGTGTGGTCTTGTGAGGGTGTGCTGCCTGTTCAGGACTTCTGACTAACTCCCAGGTGGCCTGACAGCAGCCTTCAGTACAAGCAGCATCACAGCCCAGCTGGAGCAGCCCAGCTTCTTGGGGAGACTGAATGTCAGGAAAGAGAGGGAAGGGAACAAGAAGCCCACTGTCCCTGTCCTGTGGCTCGGCACATGTGTTGGGACCGTGACCTTTTTCTAGAAGATGTGTTTCAGTCTGAAGGGCTGCTCAAGTGCAGGGCAGACACAGCTGGACAGGATCAAAAACAATCAGAGTCATGGGAGTAGGAAGGCCCAGCTTCGGCGGGCCAGGCCTGGGTGTCCTCGAGGACAGAGCTGCAACTTGGGGAGATGAGAGCATCCCAGAGATGGCAGTGGTGATGGCCGTTGCTGAGTCGTGCACTCAGAATGGTCAGTTGTGTGTTACACGTATTACATCCCTGCAGGTCTCTAAACAGACCTGCAGCCAACAGCCTGATCCCACCAGGGGAGGCTGAGCCCGGGTCTGGTAACTGAGAGGACTCGGGGGTCGGAGGGCAAGCCCTTTGTAGGGTGCAATTATCCTGAGCTCGTCCCCAAGGTGCAGTGCAGGTGAGGATCCCATTCTTCAGGTGCTCAAGGTCATTTTAGGATCATAAAGGGTGAAGGTCTCTCTAGGTGCAGAGGTGCCACAGACCGAGAGCCCCCACACCCGCCAGGTGCCCTGCAGGCACAGGGCTGCTCTAATGGAGGACAGTGGGGTGAGGACAACCTCAGGCGCATCCAGCCGATCCCCATCACTGACCCATGGCCTCTGCCCACACCTTGTCATCACCCTCGTCCTGTCCTGAGCCGTCTGTGTGACTGGGGACCTTGGCAGGTCCCCACCCTGTACACATGCAGGGTGAGCCATAGAACCATGTGC